AACAGGCTGTAAAACAGCTGCAGTACATTCAAAATGCAGCAGCTCCAGTCCTGACAAGAACCAGGAAGTACGACCACATTAGTCCTGACTAGAACCAGGAAGTACGACCATATTAGTCCTGACTAGAACCAGGAAGTACGACCACATTAGTCCTGACTAGAACCAGGAAGTACGACCACATTAGTCCAGTCCTCAGGTCTCTGCACTGGCTTCCTGTGGCTCAGAGAATAGACTTTAAAACAGCTCTGCTTGTTACAAGTCTCTCCATGGCCTCGCACCAAAATATATTAGTGACATGTTAGTCCCATATGAACCAGCCCGGACTCTGAGGAGCACAGGGACTGGACTCCTGCTGGGACTCTGAGGAGCACAGGGACTGGCCTCCTGCTGGGACTCTGAGGAGCACAGGGACTGGACTCCTGCTGGGACTCTGAGGAGCACAGGGACTGGACTCCTGCTGGGACTCTGAGGAGCACAGGGACTGGACTCCTGCTGGGACTCTGAGGAGCACAGGGACTGGCCTCCTGCTGGGACTCTGAGGAGCACAGGGACTGGACTCCTGCTGGGACTCTGAGGAGCACAGGGACTGGACTCCTGCTGGGACTCTGAGGAGCACAGGGACTGGACTCCTGCTGGGACTCTGAGGAGCACAGGGACTGGACTCCTGTTAGTGCCCAGAGTCAGAACTAAACATGGGGAGGCTGCTTTTCAGATTCATGCTGCTAAAATCTGGAATCCCTCGGGTCTCTCTCTCTGCTCTCTCGCTTTAGTCTCTCTCTCTCTTGTCTGGTGACTCAGAGCTCAGTAAAGTCTCTCCCTCGGGTCTCTCGCTCTCTCGCTTTAGTCTCTCTCTCTCTCGTCTGGTGACTCAGAGCTCAGTAAAGTCTCTCCCTCGGGTCTCTCTCTCTGTTCTCTCTGCTCTGTCGTCTGGTGACCTCCACAGCTCGGTAAAGTCTCTCTCTTTAGTCTCTCTCTTTGTCTAGTGACTCCACAGCTCGGTAAAGTCTCTCTCTTTAGTCTCTCTCTCTGTCTGGTGACTCCACAGCTCGGTAAAGTCTCTCTCTTTAGTCTCTCTCTCTCTGCTCTGGTGACTCCACAGCTCGGTAAAGTCTCTCTCTTTAGTCTCTCTCTCTGTCTAGTGACTCCACAGGCTCGGAAAGTCTCCTCTCGTTAGTCCTCTCTCTGTCGGGGTGACTCCCAGCTCGGTAAAAGTCTTATCGTATCTTCTCTCTCTCTGCTCTGTCGTCTGGTGACTCCACAGCTCGGTAAAGTCTCTCTCTTTAGTCTCTCTCTTTGTCTAGTGACTCCACAGCTCGGTAAAGTCTCTCTCTTTAGTCCTCTCTCTCTATCTGGTGACTCCACAGCTCAGTAAAGTCTCTCTCTTTAGTCTCTCTCTCTCTGTCTGGTGACTCCACAGCTCGGTAAAGTCCTCCTCTCTTAGTCTCTCTCTCTCTGCTCTGTCGTCTGGTGACTCCACAGCTCGGTAAAGTCTCTCTCTTTAGTCTCTCTCTTTGTCTAGTGACTCCACAGCTCGGTAAAGTCTCTCTCTTTAGTCTCTCTCTCTGTCTGGTGACTCCACAGCTCGGTAAAGTCTCTCTCTTTAGTCTCTCTCTCTCTGCTCTGTCGTCTGGTGACTCCACAGCTCGGTAAAGTCTCTCTCTTTAGTCTCTCTCTCTGTCTAGTGACTCCACAGCTCGGTAAAGTCTCTCTCTTTAGTCTCTCTCTCTGTCTGGTGACTCCACAGCTCGGTAAAGTCTCTCTCTTTAGTCTCTCTCTCTGTCTAGTGACTCCACAGCTCGGTAAAGTCTCTCTCTTTAGTCTCTCTCTCTGTCTGGTGACTCCACAGCTCGGTAAAGTCTCTCTCTTTAGTCTCTCTCTCTGTCTGGTGACTCCACAGCTCGGTAAAGTCTCTCTCTTTAGTCTCTCTCTCTGTCTAGTGACTCCACAGCTCGGTAAAGTCTCTCTCTCTTTAGTCTCTCTCTCTGTCTGGGTGACTCCACAGCTCGGTAAAGTCTCTCTCTTTAGTCTCTCTCTCTGTCTAGTGACTCCACAGCTCGGTAAAGTCTCTCTCTTTAGTCTCTCTCTCTGTCTGGTGACTCCACAGCTCGGTAAAGTCTCTCTCTTTAGTCTCTCTCTCTATCTGGTGACTCCACAGCTCGGTAAAGTCTCTCTCTTTAGTCTCTCTCTCTATCTGGTGACTCCACAGCTCGGTAAAAGTCTCTCTCTTTAGTCTCTCTCTCTATCTGGTGACTCCACAGCTCAGTAAAGTCTCTCTCTTTAGTCTCTCTCTCTCTGTCTGGTGACTCCACAGCTCGGTAAAGTCCTCCTGCTGCTGTGAGTGCGTGCGCTACACAGATAAATTGAACTGAGATGACTCTATCGTCGCACAGGCGCAGGTGGAGGCCGCTCTGTCGTTTACCCGCCGCTCGGCTCCAAATCCCTGCACAAACTGGAGCTGCTGTCGCGGCGCAGCCAAGACTTCATCTGCAGCCAGTTCACCGGCTTACACTGAGACAACACGCTACGTTTGGACTGAAGACCCGCGAGAGCCCCAGCCCCACGCAGCCAACGCCTGCTGCTGCTAGTACTGCTGCTGCTAGTACTGCTGCTGGTAGTACTGCTGCTGCTAGTGCTGCTGCTGCTAGTACTGCTGCTGCTAGTACTGCTGCTGGTACTGCTGCTGCTGCTAGTACTGCTGCTGCTAGTACTGCTGCTGGTACTGCTGCTGCTGCTAGTACTGCTGCTAGTACTGCTGCTGCTGCTAGTACTGCTGCTGGTGCTACTGCTGCTGCTAGTGCTGCTGCTGGTACTACTGCTTCTGCTGCTACTGCATTTTCTCTCCCTCTGGTCTCTCTCTCTCTGGGCTTTGGTCTCTCTCTGGTCTTTGGTCTCTCTCTGGTCTCTCTCTCTGGTCTCTCTCTGGTCTCTCTCTGGTCTCTCTCTCTCTGGTCTCTCTCTGGGTCTCTCTCTGGTCTCTCTCTCTGGTCTCTCTCTCTGGTCTCTCTCTCTGGCCTCTCTCTGGTCTCTCTCTCTGGTATCTCTCTGGTCTCTCTCTGGTCTCTCTCTCTGGGCTTTGGTCTCTCTGAGTAGCGCAGTTTTAAACATGATCTTGAGAATGTTTTTCTTAAAAACTGTTGAATGTAATTATTTCCACACAGATTTAACTAAAGAAATACATTAATATCAAGATGCGACTTGTTCAACTCAGGTCTAAACAACTCGCCTTCCTTTACCGTCATTGTCCAAAGGCTCTGGTTTCTGCATGAAAGACTGACGCTGCAGACCAGGTCTGAGGCTGGTAGACCCCAGGGACGGAGGCTGTAGCCCAGACTCGGCTGAGAACCCAGACTGAGGCTGTAGACCCAGGGACTGAGGGCTGTAGAACCCAGGACTCAGGCTGTATACCCAGGACTGAGACTGTAGACCCAGGACTCAAGCTGTAAACCCAGGACTGTGCTGTAGACACAGGACTGAGGCTGTAGACCCAGTGCGGTGCAGGGTTAACACAGATATAGATGTTTTATAGTAACTCGTTTAAACAAATCATGATATCCAAAGTTATGTTTGTGGGTTTGGGGTTGCCAGGTGGGGAATATTGTTCGGCTTGTCCCCGCGGTTGAAAAACAAAGGGGTGTCAGGCCACTGCCGAAAGTAAACAAGTAGGCGAATGTGGTTTTCTATAGAGTGTGAGTAAATATGAGGAGACGCCAAGAGGATATGGAAATGTATATGTGCGTCTGCGAGGGCCACGCCGGGTCTGACGGCTTTAAATGTGGTGCTTCTCTAACCCAAAGTGTCCCAAAGTGTCCCAAAGTGTCCAAAGTGTCCCACATGGCCCAAAGTGTCCCAAATGTCCCACAGTGCCCACAGGGTCCCAACAGTGTCCCACATGTCCCAAAGGTGTCCCAAAGTGTCCCACATGTGGCCCAAAAGTGTCCCACAGTGTCCCACAGTGGTCCCAAAGTGTCCCACAGTGTGCCCACAGTGTCCACACTGTCCCACATGTGTCCCAAAGTGTCCCACAGTGTCCCACAGTGTCCCACCAGTGTGCCAAAGTGGTCCCAAAGTGTCCCAAAGGTCCCACATGTCCCACAGGGTCCCACAGGGTGCGCAGAAGGTGTCCCAAAGTGTCCCACAGTGTGCCAAAGTGTCCCCACAGTGTCCCCACAGTGTCCACAGTGTCCCAATGGTCCCACATGTCCCAGAATGGCCCCAAAGTGTCCCAAGTGTCCCACAGAGTCCCAAAGTGTCCCACGGTGTCCCACAGTGTCCCACAGTGTCCCACAGTGTCCCACAGTGTCCCAAAGTGTCCCAAAGTGTCCCACGGTGTCCCACAGTGTCCCACAGTGTCCCACAGTGTCCCACAGTGTCCCAAAGTGTCCCAAAGTGTCCCACAGTGTCCCAAAGTGTCCCACAGTGTCCCAAAGTGTCCCACAGTGTCCCACAGTGTCCCACAGTGTCCCACAGTGTCCCACAGTGTGCCAAAGTGTCCCAAAGTGATCCCAAAGTGTCCCACAGTGTGCCAAGTGTCCCAAATGTCCCCTAAGGTTCCCTCAAAGTGCCCAAAGTGTGTCCCTAACGCTGTGTCCCAAAGTGTCCCAAAGTGTCCCACAGTGTCCCACAGATGTCCCAACAGTGTCCCCCCAAAAGTGTCCCAAAGTGTCCCACAGTGTCCCAAAGTGTTCCAAAGTGTCCCAAAGTGTCCCAGTGTCCCAGCATGTCCCAAAGTTCTCCATAGTGTCCCACAGTGTGCCAAAGTGGTCCCTATAGTGTCCCACATGTCCCCACAGTGTCCCAAAGTGCCCCACAGTGTCACACAGAGTCCCAAAGTGTCCCACAGTGTCCCACATGCCGCGCAAAGTTCCCAAAGTGTCCCACAGTGTCCCACAATGTCCCTAAGTGTCCCACAGTGGGGCCCAAGTGTCCCAAGTGTCCCACAGTGTCCACAGGGTCCCACAGTGTCCCAAAGTGTCCAAAAGTGTCCCACAGTGTCCCACAGTGTCCCAAAGTGTCCCACAGTGTCCCAAAGTGTCCCACAGTGTCCCACAGTGTCCCACAGTGTCCCAAAGTGTCCCACAGTGTCCCAAAGTGTCCCACAGTGTCCCACAGTGTGCCAAAGTGTCCCAAAGTGTCCCACAGTGTTTGTCAAGTTCATTAAAAACATCATCCTACATTACTTTCCTCAACTTTCTCCTTGTTTGAGCCTCAGTGTTTGGACATAAATTCACATTTCACGATTAAAAACAGCAGAAACTAGATCGACTTTGGTACGAGAGGGCGTCGGATAAGCTACGCTAACGTCTTGCTAATAGCTGTTTAGTAAAGTTAGAGACAGAGACGAGTTGTAGAATCATTGGCTAAGATTATGTCAAGCTAACGTTTTGCGAATAGCTACATTTGCAAAATAATATTTGGTCCCTTTTATTCCAGATCCATAGTTGTGCAGTTACAGCAGAATAAAAGGACAAACAAGAGCATCTCACATCAAAGTTAAGTGTTTTTTGTAGAATTAAAAAAACGCCCGCGGACGTTAACGCTAATGGCTAAGCTAACGTTTTGCTAACAGCTGTTTTGTAAAGCGACCATCAGAAGCAGAGAGAGAGACGTGTTGAGAGTTTGTGTTTTAAGAGAAGTAAGTTTTTAATGAACTTGCCAAAGGCCTCTCCTAAAGCTCGTAAACTTAAAGCAGTGAGTAATGAGGATGTTGGACACTCTGGGTTAGAGAACCACCATTGAACACTGTTTTAACAAGATTAAGAGCTCAGCAAAGTCCGTGGCTCCACATTTAAAGCCGTCAGACCCGGCGTGGCCCTCGCAGACGCACATATACATTTCCATATCCTCTTGGCGTCTCCTCGTATTTACTCACACTCTATAGAAACCAAAATCAGCCTCTTATTTACTTTTCGCAGTTGGCACCGACCCCTCCTCGTTCTCCCACGCGTCCACGGGAAAAGAGAAAAAACCTTCGCCTGGACCTCTGCGAAACCTCCGCCCACCTGGCATCCCAAACTCGGGCGCCATCTGGTCGCCTCCTCGCCATCCTGGGCCCTGCGCGGCGGCCGCCATGCCAGGACGACTGTTTGAACAGCACATATGAGTAAACACGGAAATGCCAGGTGGCGAAAAACCCCCTCCCATTTGCTTACAAGGCAATCGGGTGAGTTTGGAGTGGGCTTCTTCTCTCTCCAGTCATCAAAGGGGTGAGAAAATGGGGTGGGGGTGGCTTGGATTTCCAAAGTAACTAAGCCTTAATCCACCGGCGTTATTGGTCCCATTCATATTGAAATACATGATCAGAGAAGCTGCCTTAATCTCGCCAATGAGCGGTCCGGCACAGCTGCAGGGATCAGGCTATCAGGCTGTGGGACCACCAGTGTATTAGAAAGAGGAGAGAGGAGAGAGGGGAGAGGAGAGAGGAGAGAGGAGAGAGGAGAAGGCCAAAAGACTGGGGTCCTTGTTGATTGGATTAGCAGAAAGCCGGAGAGAAGTCAAGCTGCAGATGACCCTCGCGTGGCTCTGGGCCGGCCAGAAAGTGGGAGACTGTGGAAAACAAACAGCGGCTGTGCAGAGACGAGAGAGCAGAGACACAGGCCGAGTCATCGGGACGAGAGAGCACAGACACAGGCCTGCGACACCAGGACGAGAGAACACAGACACAGGCCCGCGACACTGGGACAAGAGAGCACAGACACAGGCCCGCGACACCAGGACAAGAGAGCACAGACACAGGCCCGCGACACCAGCACGAGAGAGCACAAACACAGGCCCGCGACACCAGCACGAGAGAGCACAGACACAGGCCTGCGACACCAGGACGAGAGAACACAGACACAGGCCCGCGACACTGGGACAAGAGAGCACAGACACAGGCCCGCGACACCAGGACGAGAGAGCACAAACACAGGCCCGCGACACCAGCACGAGAGAGCACAAACACAGGCCCGCGACACCAGGACGAGAGAGCACAGACACAGGCCCGCGACACTGGGAGGAGAGAGCACAGACACAGGCCCGATGACACTGGGAGGAGAGAGCACAGACACAGGCCCGCGACACCGGGAGGAGAGAGCACAGACACAGGCCCGCGACACCAGCACGAGAGAGCACAGACACAGGCCCGCGACACCAGGACAAGAAAGCACAGACACAGGCCCGCGACACCAGCACGAGAGAGCACAGACACAGGCCCGCGACACTGGGAGGAGAGAGCACAGACACAGGCCGAGTCACCGGGACGAGAGAGCACAGACACAGGCCGAGTCACCAGGACGAGAGAGCACAGACACAGGCCGAGTCACCAGGACGAGAGAGCACAGACACAGGCCGAGAGAGCACAGACACAGGCCGAAAGGCACAACACAGGCCGCAGTCAGCAAGACGAGAGAGCACAGACAAGGGCGAAGAGCACGGACACAGGCCGAGTCAGCAGGACGAGAGAGCACAGACATAGGGCGAGAGAGCACAGACACAGGCCGAGAGAGCACAGACACAGGGTGAGAGAGCACAGACACAGGGCGAGAGAGCACAGACACAGGGCGAGAGAGCACAGACACAGGGCGAGAGAGCACAGACACAGGGCGAGAGAGCACAGACACAGGGCGAGAGAGCACAGACACAGGGCGAGAGAGCACAGACACAGGGCGAGAGGAGCACAGACACAGGGCGAGAGAGCACAGACACAGGTGAGAGAGCACAGACACAGGGCGAGGGAGGAGAGCACAGACACAGGGCGAGAGAGAGCACAGACCACAGGGTGAGAGAGCACAGACACAGGGCGAGAGAGCACAGACACAGGGGTGAGAGAGCACAGACACAGGGCGAGAGAGCACAAGAAGCACAGGGTGAGAGAGCACAGACACAGGGTGAGAGAGCACAGACAGACAGGGTGAGAGAGCACAGACACAGGCCGAGAGAGCACAGACACAGGGCGAGAGCACAGACACAGGCCGAGAGAGCACAGACACAGGCCGAGAGAGCACAGACACAGGGCGAGAGAGCACAGACACAGGGCGAGAGAGCACAGACACAGGGTGAGAGAGCACAGACACAGGGTGAGAGAGCACAGACACAGGGTGAGAGAGCACAGACACAGGGTGAGAGAGCACAGACACAGGGCGAGAGAGCACAGACACAGGGCGAGAGAGCACAGACACAGGGCGAGATATTTCATGTTTGAGAAGTTACTAAAACACTGGTGACAACTGATCAGAAAGTTCATTATTTTAACTTAAAGACTCTGAGGTGAGATTAGTCTGATCACATCCTGGATCATCCAAAAAGTTATCCATTTCTGTCAGCGCAAACCAGCTAAGGTCTCTCTCTCTGGTCTCTCTCTCTGGTCTCTCTCTCTCTGGTCTCTCTCTCTGGTCTCTCTCTCTGGTCTCTCTCTGGTCTCTTCTCTCTCTGGTCTCTCTCTCTCTCTGGTCTCTCTCTCTCTGGTACTCTCTCTCTGGTCCCTCTCCCTCTGGTCTCTCTCTCTCTGGTCTCTCTCTCTGTCTCTCTCTCTCTGACCTCTCTCTCTGGTCTCTCTCTCTGGTCTCTCTCTCTCTGGTCTCCCTCTCTCTCTGACCTCTCTCTCTGGGTCTCTCTCTCTCTGACCTCTCTCTCTGGTCTCTCTCTCGGGTCTCTCTCTCTCTGACCTCTCTCTCTGGTCTCTCTCTCTGGTCTCTCTCTCTCTCTGGTCTCTCTCTCTCTGGTCTCTCTCTCTCTGGTCTCTCTCTCTCTGGTCTCTCTCTCTCTCTCTGGTCTTTCTCTCTGGGTTCTCTCTCTCTCTCTGGTCTCTCTCTGGTCCCTCTCTCTGGTCTCTCTCTCTCTCTGGTCTCTCTCTCTGGTCCCCTCTCTCTCTCTGACCTCTCTTTCTGGTCTCTCTCTCTGGTCTCTCTCTCTCTCTGGTCTCTCTCTCTGGTCTCTCTCTCTCTGACCTCTCTCTCTGGTCTCTCTCTCTCTGACTCTCTCTCTGGTCTCTCTCCTCTGGTCTCTCTCTCTCTGGTCTCTCTCTCTCTGGTCTCTCTCTCTCTGGTCTCTCTCATCTCTGGTCTCTCTCTCTCTCTGGTCTCTCTCTCTGGTCTCTCTCTCTGGTCCTCTCTCTCTCTGGTCTCTCTCTCTGGTCCCTCTCTCTGGTCTCTCTCTCTCTGGTCTCTCTCTCTGGTCTCTCTCTCTCTGACCTCTCTTTCTGGTCTCTCTCTCTGGTCTCTCTCTCTCTGGTCTCTCTCTCTGGTCTCTCTCTCTGGTCTCTCTCTCTCTGGTCTCTCTCTCTGGTCTCTCTCTCTGGTCTCTCTCTGGTCTCTCTCTCTCTGGTCTCTCTCTCTGGTCTCTCTCCCTGGTCTCCTCTCTGGTCTCTTCTCTCTCTGGTCTCTCTCCCTGGTCTCTCTCTCTTCTCTCTCTCTGGTCTCTCTCCCTGGTCTCTCTCTCTTCTCTCTCTCTGGTCTCTCTCTCTGGTCTCTCTCACTGGTCTCTCTCTCTGGTCTCTCTCTCTTGGTCTCTCACTCTGACCTCTCTCTTCTCTGGTCTCTCTCTAACCTCTCTCTCTGGTCTCTCTCTCTCTGGTCTCTCTCTCTGGTCTCTCTCTGACCTCTCTCTCTGGTCCCCTCTCTGGTCTCTCTCTCTCTCTGGTCTCTCTCTCTGACCTATCTCTCTGGTCTCTCTCTCTGGTCTCTCTCTCTCTCTCTGGTCTCTCTCTCTCTGGTCTCTCTCTCTCTCTGGTCTCTCTCTCTCTCTGGTCTCTCTCTCTGGTCTCTCTCTCTGGTCTCTCTCTCTCTGGTCTCTCTCTCTGGTCCCTCTCTCTGGTCTCTCTCTCTCTGGTCTCTCTCTCTGGTCTCTCTCTCTCTGACCTCTCTCTCTGGTCTCTCTCTCTGGTCTCTCTCTCTCTGACCTCTCTCTCTGGTCTCTCTCTCTCTGGTCTCTCTCTCTGGTCTCTCTCTCTCTCTGACCTCTCTCTCTGGTCTCTCTCTCTGGTCTCTCTCTCTCTCTGGTCTCTCTCTCTCTGGTCTCTCTCTCTCTGGTCTCTCTCTCTCTCTGGTCTCTCTCTCTGGTCTCTCTCTCTGGTCTCTCTCTCTCTGGTCTCTCTCTCTGGTCCCTCTCTCTGGTCTCTCTCTCTCTGGTCTCTCTCTCTGGTCTCTCTCTCTCTGACCTCTCTCTTCTCTCTCTCTCTGGTCTCTCTCTCTCTGGTCTCTCTCTCTCTCTGGTCTCTGACCTCTCTCTCTCTCTCTCTGGTCCCTCTCTCTGGTCTCTCTCTGGTCTCTCTCTCTCTCTGGTCTCTCTCTCTCTGGTCTCTCTCTCTGGTCTCTCTCTCTCTCTGTCTCTCTTCTCTCTCTCTGGTCTCTCTCTCTCTGGTCTCTCTCTCTGGTCCCTCTCTCTGGTCTCTCTCTCTCTGGTCTCTCTCTCTGGTCTCTCTCTCTCTGACCTCTCTCTCTCTCTGACCTCTCTCACTCTGGTCTCTCTCTCTCTCTCTCTCTGGTCTCTCTCTCTGGTCTCTCTCTCTGGTCTCTCTCTCTGGTCTCTCTCTCTCTGACCTCTCTCTGACCTCTCTCACTGGTCTCTCTCTCTGGTCTCTCTCTCTGGTCTCTCTCTCTGGTCTCTCTCTCTCTGACCTCTCTCTCTGGTCTCTCTCTCTGGTCTCTCTCTCTCTGACCTCTCTCTCTGGTCCTCTCTCTCTGGTCTCTCTCTCTGACCTCTCTCTCTCTGACCTCTCTCACTGGTCTCTCTCTCTGGTCTCTCTCTCTGGTCTCTCTCTCTGGTCTCTCTCTCTCTGACCTCTCTCTCTGGTCTCTCTCTCTGGTCTCTCTCTCTCTGACCTCTCTCTCTGGTCTCTCTCTCACTGGTCTCTCTCTCTCTGGTCTCTCTCTCTGGTCTCTCTCTCTCTCTGGTCTCTCTCGCTGAGGCCTGGCCCCTGTGGCTGTGTGAGTGTTGGTTTTGGCTGCTCGGTGGGAGAGTAGAGCCCGGCTGAGGCAGTGTGTGACTGGGCTAATCTCCCTCCGGCCCCGGGCCCCTGCCTCCGGCCCCGGGCCCCTGCCTCCGGCCCCGGGCCCCTGCCTCCGGCCCCTGGTGATGTCTCCTGTTCAGCTTAAGCCTCAGACAACAGCACAGCGACAGGAGTGTGGCGCGAACATCGTCCTTCTCAAACTTTCTCCTGAGTTCAGAGACCAGTGACATGGATTTCATTACACACTTCAATTGTTTGGGCTTTGAAAGTTACGCGCCCTGGCTTTAAATGTGGTGCATTCAGAGTTGGGCCGCTCTGTGATCCACATCCACACTAATCACACCGGTTCAAACCTCATGTTGAGAACCATTTCCTTTGCAGACTTAGCGTTAGTTAGTTAGCGTTAGCGTTAGCTCCTGGAGGACGGCGGGGCCACTGAGGTCTCGGACTTGTCGACAGAAATACTGCCGTCTTTGTTACCGCAGCTGACGCGACAGGTGCGGGGAGAGCGAGAGAGAGAGCGAGAGAGAGAGCGAGAGAGAGAGCGAGAGAGACCTGGACAAAATAAATGAGCCGTTCCTAGCGTAGCATTTGTGGAGCTGTAAAAACACAGCTGTTCTGTCGGCTATCGCGGCTCCTCCGATTCTCTCCAGCTCCTTGTTGGCAGCGGCGGCAAAACTCACAAACGCTTCGCTCTTTAGCCGGGCTTTAGACTCGCTTTGAGGAGACTTAGCAAGAGGCACTTAGCTGCTCTGGAGAAAGCTAACGTGTGGAGAGAGGCTAACGAGGAGAGAGGCTAACGAGGAGAGAGGCTAACGAGGAGAGAGGCTAACGAGGAGAGAGGCTAACGAGGAGAGAGGCTAACGAGGAGAGAGGCTAACGAGGAGAGAGGCTAACGAGGAGAGAGGCTAACGAGGAGAGAGGCTAACGAAGAGAGAGGCTAACAAGGAGAGAGGCTAACGAGGAGAGAGGCTAACAAGGAGAGAAGCTCTCTCTGGTCTCTCTCTGGTCTCTCTCTGGTCTCCCTCTGGTCTCCCTCTGGTCTCCCTCTGGTCTCTCTCTGGTCTCCCTCTGGTCTCTCTCTGGTCTCCCTCTGGTCTCCCTCTGGTCTCTCTCTGGTCTCCCTCTGGTCTCTCTCTGGTCTCCCTCTGGTCTCTCTCTCTGGTCTCCCTCTGGTCTCCCTCTGGTCTCCCTCTGGTCTCCCTCTGGTCTCCCTCTGGTCTCTCTCTGGTGTCTCTCTGGTCTCTCTCTGGTCTCTCTCTGGTCTCTCTCTGGTCTCCCTCTGGTCTCTCTCTGGTCTCCCTCTGGTCTCTCTCTGGTCTCTCTCTGGTCTCCCTCTGGTCTCCCTCTGGTCTCCCTCTGGTCTCTCTCTGGTCTCTCTCTCTGGTCTCTCTCTGGTCTCTCTCTGGTCTCCCTCTGGTCTCTCTCCGGTCTCCCTCTGGTCTCCCTCTGGTCTCCCTCTGGTCTCCCTCTGGTCTCTCTCTGGTCTCTCTCTCTGGTCTCCCTCTGGTCTCCCTCTGGTCTCCCTCTGGTCTCTCTCTGGTCTCCCTCTGGTCTCCCTCTGGTCTCTCTCTGG